GCCTCAAATACAGATTTGGTGCTGCAGGCACAGTTAAAGGGCTCCACAGCGCTTTCTGCCAGAGTCGTGGTGCAGAGGTAGCCCATTTTCCCATCAATGTTTTATGTAACCATTTTTTTTTTTAAATCGATACTAAGAAGTGAAAGATCGATATTATATTGGGCAGCCGAATATCACGATATATCGCCAAAACGATTATTTCCCACACCCCTAGTCAATTGTGCAATTAGTCTGTGTATTTATGCTCTGGTTTTTGTTTGTTAGGCACTGAGTCTTTGTCTAGCATCCATGTCCCTGGTGAGCTACTCTGAATTATTTTTGTGCTTATGATACTTTGGGATCTGGCACCTTAATACTTATTTTATGTGTAGGAGAACTTTTGGTGTTACCAAACATATTTTTGTTCTATTTTCGATCCTTTGTACTACTTATTTCTGAAATGCCCCAGGACTTCTATTGTGGCTCTTCTGCGTTTTTTTTGGTCATTCAACTGAGTTATGGGGAAAAATAAAAGGACATCTCTTGACTCCCATCTCTGCACTTAAATCTTTTCCGTCTACCATGACTGTAGTTCAGTGGTTACCACTTCCACCTGCCAAGCCCACAACCTAAGTTCAAAGCCTGGGTCGGTCCTAACATCAGCTTGTTCAACAGTCTGATGGCGGTGGCAAAACTTTTGTTGCAGAATCTGCTTTGACGCACCTTCCCAAAAAGCAGCAGTGAGAACAGTCCATCTTTGTGAGGGCACACTGATGATCATAGGGCTCTGGTGTCTATGCCTCAGAGCTTCCCTTCCAGTTCTTTTCCTGGGAACATTCTGCTTAGTTTGACCACTTGAATACTACATAAAAAACACTAATAACAGTGGTAAAAGTTTAACAGAATTTATTCCAGATCAGATCGACTCAGAACAGAGAAATTGCAGTGTGTTGGCAAGCTGTGGGCTCAAGTGGTCACCATGCAATGGCATCCAAAGATATAAAGTACTTTTTAAAACACACAGCACTCTTTGAAAAATGAGGGAATTTTGCAAAGTCTGAAAAATGTAACTATGATTAATAAATCCTAAAGTGTAAGAGATACATATATGAGTGTTAGACTGTGGAACACATTGCCTTTGATAAACAACTTTCATGTTTCTTCAAATAATGATGTGGCCATTGTGATAATGTAATAAAGTGAATCGTTTTGAAAGCTCTTAGTCTGAGGCTTTTTCAGTGAAAGAGCGTTTTACTGCCACCAAATTACCCAGCTGAAAGGAAAAACCATAATAAATATCGAAATCCTGACATAATCCCTACGTTTTAATTTATGATTTGATTGTGGAAAAGTTGAGTGAGTGAGCAGAATTAGTTTGCCATGAGTAAAATCCTTGTGCATCATAAAGTGACACACTAGCGGCACAAACATTCTGTCAATGACTTCAATTATAAAATCAAAAATCTGTAAAAAAAAAAAAAAAATGTTAAAAAGATTGAGGCATCACTGAATTAAAACTGTAAAAGATTTTTAAAAAGCTGAGCTAATAGAAAAAGGTTTCAGAAATGTTTTAAAAGTTGAATGGTTGGTTGTTGCTGAAAATATAAAGACCATTCATGTCAGTAGCAGTGAAATTTTGCAGAATAGGGCTAAATCTTTCGAAAATTATAAAATATATCACTACTAAAAGATATAGCTGAACGTTTTAGAGGTGAGATGGTGAAAATAGCAAAATAATTTGTAGGAGTAGATGTGAATCAAATGTTGAAACTAAGAGGAATAATAACAAAGAAAAAAGAAATAAACAGAGAAACAGCATCTACAAACTCACAGCATAATTTTTGGTAGTTATTTATTGAGGCTGAAATATTATGGATAAAGTACTTTTTTTAAATGCAGCATAAAGAGAGAGAAAAGCACGCTGACTTTCAGTCTAATTGAGGCCAGAAAAACAAAGCTGCAGGGGTACAGATTGTGTTTGTACCATTTTCTCATTTTCATTTGCTTCCTATTTTTTGCTGTTGCAGTCAGTGGTAGTACTTATTCGCTCCATGGGCAATATTGGTTTCACCACCCACCCACCTTTTTTTTTTTTTTTTTAAGCTGCAATACATTGCGTTTGATATGTTACCAACAAAAAAAACAAAAACAAAAAAAAGTGCCTTGAATACTTTTCACATATCTTTTTTATGGATCAGTTATTCGTGTTATTGATGGAATCAAGGACAGTGCAAACACATCCACTCTCAACTCTGTCTTCACTGTAACTACTGTATATGGGAGCAATCAGTGCAACCTGATCATATTCTACAATTTTCTTTTACTTTATATTTCCTGTTTTCCAATACACCTTTTAACATGACTCATGTGAAAATAGTCATATAAAGGGGATACTGTTTTGTTCAAAATAATGTTGGATCTTGAATTAAAAAAATAAAGAAAATGTCTGAATTATTTTAATTTGCTTCATGTTGCCCATTATCTGACCCAGCAAATTTATACACATAACTTTTAAGTCACTTAAATTAAGTCATAGTGACATTAAGAGGTCACTTTTATAAATTCCAGTTAGAATCTAGCTTGGAAACTATACAGTTAAGTTCACTTTATGAATTAAGTTATGATTAAGTTGGTAACAGTTTTTTTTTTCTTAAAAAAACTCATCAGTTCTATCGAGTGAGCGACTTTGCAGAAATAACTCTGCCTAGATGAGAATTTAGCTTTTAACCTTGCACCATTAATTGCATTGTGTTGTTGTCTTTGCAGCAGTCTTTAAAAATAGTATTCAAATAGAAGTAAACAGGAGAGCTTCCCTTTAAAAAGAAGTATCCTTGAGAACAATTGTTTTATGATGATGGCCATTTGTCTCGACTGACCAGGGATTTTCTAAGGAAAGCAGAACTGCCTTGATTTCTTCGGAGAGGCTTCATCTTGAAAGAGCTCAGCATTTGGTATGAAATTGGAGCCAGTTATAAAATCTAAAGAATAACATTGTATACAGTTAGAGGCAACACTATCTCTACTTTTTGTTAGATGGGGTAATTATTTCTCTAACAACTGATAGAGTTTAATAATTATGTTATTTTTTACGGATTTTAAAGACAGCTAAAAAGAGGCTCTAAATCAGATAAAATATACTTACATTTTTATCAGATCTCCAACTACAGCATTAGGGAGCACAAGGTTTTTTTTGGGCGTTATAATTTAGAAATACTTTAGAAGTGAAGCAGGTCATGTATAAAACCCTCTAAAATTAGATCTAAATAACATGACTAGGTCCCATATGTACCTTTGTTAACATTTCTACTGTGTATTGCGTATAGATCTTTTATGTAAGCAAACTGACACTATAGGCATTCAAATAAAAGTATAAGTGCATTATACATTTAGAGGTTACCTAAAAATAGTGAGTGGTTGATATAAGTTGGAAATAATTTTTATGATACTTTGTGTGTATTTCAGGAGCTGATCACCACTCTGTATATTGGGTTTCTGAGCCTGATCTTCTCCTCATACTTCGTCTACCTGGCAGAGAAAGATGCAGTTGATTCCACAGGTTCCACTGGCTTTGGGAACTATGCAGATGCTTTGTGGTGGGGAGTGGTAGGTCTACCCATGTTGGTTTTTGCTGATTGTATATATATTTGTACAGTTATTAAAAAAAAAAATTAAGCATACAAGTGTTCCATCTGTAGTACTTAAGAAGGAAAGTAGCCTAGCTGATGCACTTAGTGAATTGTTAGCAGGTTTGACTCACTCTATTAAAGCAGAAAAAGATGGCAGTTTGCTGATCTTGAGTGTAGTGTGTTTCAACAGCCTACTAAAGAGTAAAACAGGCCCTGAGATTTTTTTGTGTTCCCTTCATCTTTACACCATCTTGAATCTGTTAAGAAGCTGCTGAAAACCCATTTATTTAGTTTAGCTTTTATCTGGTTTTAGGCTATATGATGTGGCCTATATGCTGTTTTTATTTTGTTTTGTTTTTATGGTCATATCATTGTGAAACTCTTTGTTGTTTTTTATCCTTTGAAAGATGCTATTTTAATAAAGTGCACTTAGTAAAAGGCATCAGCAATGACAGTGATTGATAGGCAGTGGAAAAAAACAATCTCTATTGCCTAGAAATCTGGAAAGGGTTAGAAGACAATTTCTGAATAATTTTAAGTTAATCTTTTTAGAGATGAGGAAGAAAATATTCATAAATTAACATTTATGATAGTTGCCAGTCTTCCGAGGAGTAGATGTCTCTGCAAATTTACCCCTGAGTCAGACTGTGCCACTAACAAAAATTGTAGTATATCAGATGCCACTGCAGATCTTAATGACATACTGAATCAGTCATTTAGCAAAATGTCAGCTCTTCTGGAAGAAGGACACAACTACAAAATACAAAACAACTCATGACAAATGTGAAATCTTATAATTATGTGAGTTATAGAATTGTGCATCTTTTTTTAAAGTACTGCATTCATGCATAAACATGTCATTCATTCATATGAAATTTCTACTTGGTTTTATTTATACACTTTGGTAGTTCATCAACTGTGTTAATGATCGTGCTTAAATAATCCAACAGCAAGGGAGATATTTGAACTTAACTTTTACAAATGTTCTAAATTGGGGTTTACATTCATATTTTTTAGACCAATATAGATTTGTTGTCATTTAATACTAAACTACACCTTCCCATCATGCTGACTCCAGAGTAAGACTCTAACCTTAGGTAACCTTTATTCAGTATACAAAGTATTCAATATAACACAAATCATTACATTTAAAAAAAATGTAAATCTGAAATAACATCTGGTAAATAGTGCAGGACTTTTTTGTGATTTATATTTACTGATAATTAAACCGACTTTCCAAAATTATCTGAAGTAGGTCATTTTAATTGATGCCTTTTCTTATTATGACCCATAGCAAAATGGCTGATTGAAATGAAAATCAGTGTAGAAAAGATGCATTTCCATACTAACGGCTCCTTTACAATATGGAACTCATCTGCATCTACTCATGAAAGAGGCAGACATTAACCAGCTGAAGAAGATAAAATCTGAATCCTTACAGCATGTTCTGTCTGAATTATGAGTTATTGCTTCGTGCAGAGCATTTTAGTTTCTGGTAATGCGCATGATTCACATTGCAGTGAAAGCAAATAAGATGCTGGGTTGCTAAAGAGGATTGTTAGTTTTCCACAGAGAGGCATAGTACTTTTTGATAATTTCCTGCTAAAACCATTTTTTTTTTGTTCTCAATGAATAGTTGTTTTCTTATTTTCTTCTATGTTTAGAAGGAAATGTTAAAGTCATACTGAAAGTTGGTTAAATGTTTTATAAGTTTGTGCTGCATCACTGCATGTTCTGTATATGGGCTTGGAAATAGTTGGAGACTATAAAGATGTAGTGATTTTTTTAAAAAGAGACATGAGACTGTTTTGTTTATATTGAAATGGTCAATATAAACCATTTCAATAAATATAGGGGGAGTGTTGGCCTAGTGGATAAGAGCTCTGAGAATGTTGCATGTACCCGGGTCGATACCCACAGCCTCCACTCTGGGTTCCCGAGCAAAACCCTTTACCCCTGATTACTTCCCAAGCGAAGTATGAAAATGCAGACAATGAATTTCCCCATTGTGGGACAATAAAGGGATGTACATTACAATATTGTGGTAGTATAACAATACTTTTAACAATGCCAGTAGGTACTGTAGGTTTCAGTTAGTCCTCATGTTTATTTAAAGCTTGTTAAGAGTATTGTTTGTTTGACATTTGGGCAGAAGATTTGATTAAGAGTTACCTTAAATCATTATTTTATGAAAGAAAACAATATTAAGATAATTATTGTATATCACCATACAGCTCAATATATTAAGATATTAGTTTTGGTTCACATCTGCAAACAGAAAAAAAACCCTACTCAAATTCATTGTCATATAGTATCCAGAATAATAATAGATAACATACATTTTTTAACAGTTTTTATACAAATACAATTGTTTGCAAATCTTTTTTAATTATACCTGCAACGATATCAAACATGACAGTTACCTAGAACATCCCAAGGAAAAATCTATAAAGCTAATTTATTACAAACAAATATGGGTGGGATTAAAATAAGAAAATATATTAGGGAATTAAACAAATTAAAATAAATCAAATTAAAAATAAAATAAAAGAAATAGAAAAAGGAATATAATGCAGAACTATAATTTATTCTAGAAAAATTAATGTTTTTGCTCTAGTTGTCTGTATTAGTTTTATGCAAAACCTTAAAAACATCAAAAAGTCTAACTTTATAGAGGAAAAAGATGAAAAATGTCATCACAAAATAACTTTTTTAGAGGGAGGGTTCATTGTAAGTTTATCAAAACCAAACATCCTTAAAGCTGGGACAACTTCCACATTACTTTAAATAAAGGGACTGCTGTTCAGGAAATATTGTTCAGAAAAGTATTTTTGATTAGGACACATGAAATGTAATGACCATACGGCAATTTTCAATGTCTCTGTTGCCTTTGCACCTTTTATTTTATATAAGCTCAACAAAAATATAAATGCAACACTTTTGGTTTTGCTTCCCCTTTTTTATGAGATAAACTCAAAGATCTAAAACTTTTTCTACATACACAATAGAACCAATTTCTTTTGTTCAGATAATTCATCCCACATCACAGGTGTGCCATATGAAGATGCTGATTAGACACCATGATTAGTGCACAGGGGTGCTGTGACTTCCCACAATAAAAGGCCACTCTAAAAGGTACAGTTTTATCACACAACACAATGCCACTGATGTTCGCAAGATTTGAGGGAGCGTGCAATTGACATGCTGGCAGCAGAAATGTCAGCCAGTGTCTTAAATGTTAATTTCTCTACCATAAGTCGTCTCCAAAGGTGTTCTACAAAATTTGCAGTATATCCAACCAGCCTCAGAACGGTAGACTGCGTCTATCCACACCTGCCTAGGACATCCATATCCAGCATGTTCATCTCCAACATCGTCTGAGACCAGACACTCAGACAACTGCTGAAACAATCAGTTTACGTAACCAAAGAATTTCAGCAAAAACTCTCAGAAACCATCTCAAGGATAGCTCATGTAGTCTAGTATCTTGTTTGCAATTAAGGATAAAACTTAGTACCTGTGGTAATGTGTCCTGAAGCATATTCAGTAGTGATCTGTATCTGTTTGTAGTTGCACATGCACAAATGAGCTGTTTGTATGGATTGTGCTTCTCATATAGATTGGGCAGTGACATGGCATCTGGCCAAAGTTTCCTTATCAAATCATTCCATTGGCTAATCTGAGTGTACACACTGATTTATGATCTGGGTTCCTTGTTGCACTCTCAACACATCCGCACAGTAATCAGTGTGAGCCATGAATTATTGTCCCACATTGGGAAATAATTATTCTTGGTGCACCAAGGGCAGGGCAGTCTTTCACAAGAGGTGATTCAGAGCTCAAGCAGCCCATGATGCGCCGGATGGGAAACATTGTCCTATCAGCTGTTATTTTTAATGGAATCCTGTCTATTACCACCTAACTTGTATTTAGGGGGTATCCTAAGACAGACTTTACCTCCCAGATGTGCTTACACTATACAAGAGCCTCTTCCTCTTAGCAGTGCAGAAGCTTCTGCTCTTTTTCCGAATACCATGGACGATGACTGATGCCATATGAATCCAAAAGGCCTAAAGGAGAGCACACTGCACTCCAAAAAAAAAACTCAAGCTCCTGAATAGGTAGATACTGCTCCGACTGTTCCTGTAAGCAATGTTGTATTGTGACACCAGTGTAGTTTGCTGTTCAGGTGAACACCTGAACCCCGAAATTCCACAACCCAACAACTACACTTACCTGCTGAGAGCCTGACTGATCAACTGCTTAGTTATGTAAATTAATGAGACTCTCGTCCCTTGAGACTCCACTCAAACCTTTTGGAGTTTAAAGAACTTTCACAGAGATGCGAAAGGCGGTCTGCAACTGACCTGAGAAGTACACGAGCAGAGGATGTAGAATCTGGACTTGATACTTGCTGTATTAAAGTCTACTTTTTCAATTTCAGTTCCCTGGATAAGCACTTCTGTTGGTGTGAAGGGTCTCTGACTGGAAGTCCACTAGCAGTTCCTAGGTTTTCCTCCAATTGATTAAGAGGTCGCTCTGCTGACACCATTCAACACAGTTTTAAGTTAGATGTTGGTACTTTCTTATGATGAGGTAAACTATGGCAGAGTTGTCCAAGAACTGGGGAGTTGCTGGAGAAGTCTAAAGTGTGGAGGGTAAACAGGAAAGGTGCCAGGACAGTTTCCTGCATGGTTGCTGTACTGCAAACCAGCCTCTCAGTAATACAGCCCTGTGTCCTCCCATATTGTAGCAGCCAGTGTGTTATAGTCCCAATCAAGGGGACAGACAGTAGTTAACCACTGACAGCTCCAGCCTGTCCCTCAGAATTCAGTAAATTACTGCTTTATAGCTGGGGAATAGTTAGTTTGGATATTGTTGAATACTATAATCAATAACAGATTTGCTACTGATCTTTATTTATGAACAGATTTTTAAAGTATTGTTCTTTTAAAGTACCTTTACTACCCTAAGGCAGTATTTCTTGAACTATAAGAAGTCAAACACAGTATGTGTTTTATCCGAGTTTTTGTTCTTGAAGTAGGAGTGGGTAAACTCGTGGGTAAATCCAGTGGGCTGCTAATGCAGGCACTAACACGAATATCGAAGAGAACATGGGATGAACTTCAGCTTTCTAAAAACTCCAGGGTCTGTTAAAAGCACACACATGTTCAATTGCATCGATAATCTTTCTTACATAAATGAAAGTTTCTGTTATCTGATATTTATCCATTTTTACACACAGTGATTTTGTGCTCTTCTACAGCAGGAACATGGGAGAGAGAGCCAAAGAAGATAAAAGTTCAATAATAATGTGGTCAGAAAGACGGTGAATTTATTTGACACAGCAGGTGTTGTCTTGAGCATTTCCCTCTTGTTTGAGATAGGTCATGTCTTAAGGACATGATGATTTTCCAGGAATCACAACTTATACAATATATTTATACCGTATATAGATAAAAATACAATCTGCTTAATTTATTTTTTATCTGTGTAGTAAGGCAAGGCAATTTTACTGATATACAGTAGCATATAAACAATTTAAATAGCGTATATTAATAAAAACATGAAGAGGATAGAAGTGATGCATTAATTACAGAATATTATATGAAAAAGTTATGACTGAGAAAAATTGAAAAAAATATATGACTATTCAAAATCAAACAGACTAGAAACTTATAGTGTCTGGATAACACACTCAAAGGCTCCTCTTTAACAATGTGTTTTATATACATTTATTTAAAGTAAACTGAGGGTTTAATAATTTTTACAGCTTTCTGGGAGTTTATTCCAGATTACTGGTGCATAAGCATTAAAATGTGTTTCTCCATGTTTGGTTTTGTTTCTGGGTATGCAGAGTAGAATGAACCTGAAGTCCTTAGAAGTCTTAGTGGTTGATCCACTGACAGCAAGTCTATAATGTATTTTGTAGCTAAGCCATTAATTGATTTACACACCATCTGAAGTATTTTAAGTCTGTTTGCTGACATGTGGGAAGCAAATGTAATGATTTTAGAACTAGGGTAATTTGCTTCACTTTGTTTGTTTTTGTGAGGATGCAGGCAGCAGTATTCTGAATCAGCTACAGCTCTGAAGACCTCTGAAGACACCTTTGCAGTAATCAATTTTCTTAAGGATGAACACATAAATTATATTTATCATTTATTTTTTATTTTTTTATTTGTCTGACTAAGAAATGTGTCCTTTATTCCCGGAGAGGTTTTTTAGATGATAGAATATCAACTTTATTACTGACTATATCTGCCTTTGAAGATTCAGGTCTTAGTCCATCTGTACACCCAGATTTAGCCTGATCTTTGTTTTCTGGCTGTATCAGTGAAAGCTGTGTACTTACTTTTGAAAGCTCTTTTTTGGTCCAAAGACTATTATTTTATCTTGATTTAGCTGAAGAACATTCTTGCAGATCCATGCATTAATCCAATGCTTAAAGAGGTTTAAAGTCACCTATAATGTACAGCTGTCTGTACAATATGGTTATGGTTGCTTATTGTTTTTACAATTATCTAAGTTAGGGGAAGCATGTAGAGATTGAATAAAAGGCCCCTAAAAAGGATCCTTAGGAAACACCATATGTGATTTTTGGGGCCTCTGATATAAAGTTACCTATTTACACATTAAAGGTCCTGTTCTACAGGTAGGATTTAAATCGGTATGCTAAGTAGAGTGATCAACAGTGTTGAATGCTTCACTAAGGTATCTATGTAATTATATGAAACAATAGTGATTTCTTTTTTATAGCACAGATTTATATAAAACATTCAAATATAATTTTTTTAAGCATAGGTTGAAACTAGGTGAAGATATTGTTAAAAGACAGCTAGACGGGTTTCAAGATTCAAGTTTCTACACCTGTTCGGGAGGCTTTGTATATTTGCGTATATTTGGATACTCAGGCATATACCACTTCAAGCCATTATTTGAAACATACATGATTGTTCTTATTTGCTATGTGGTGATGTTGTGAAGGAGAGTTGTGTTGATCAAGGTACAGAAAAAAGTTTGTAAGTAGCATAATAATTTGGAAGTTAATGATAGACTTACAGAAGAGTGCCCAAACACAAAGACAAAGAAACGCTTAAAATAGGCAATTATGCCCTATTTTGTGGGAGTGAATTACAATCCAAATATAATTAAGTCCTGGTTGGTTTTTTTATCATGCTTTGGGAAAAAATTACCAAAAAAAATCAAGTAAATTATAGTTCTGCAAGGTATTGTAGACTGACCATAACATTATAACAACTGCAAAGTATAATGCTTGATGTGGTAAACTTTTGTACCAGAAAATCCTTCACATGTTTCTTTTTTTTATTCAACTTAAAACTGTAAAGAATTTTCATATGAAGTTGTTTAAATTTATTAGTATGCTTGTAGGTGTTGTTTTCAAAATCAAGCAGTGATGAGATTTTCTATTCCTGCTTTTATTTTTAAGGTGACTGTGACTACAATTGGCTATGGAGACAAAGTACCACAAACCTGGATTGGAAAGACCATTGCATCCTGCTTCTCAGTGTTTGCAATCTCTTTTTTTGCCCTGCCTGCAGTAAGTGGAAACATTGAGAGTGTTTTCTTTGTTTTGTGAAAATGCAAATGATTAGTTTTGAAGGTCTTGTAGTAGAATTATAATACTGTAAGCTATAATCCATAATTATCTAGAAACGAATAATAGATATAACAGGCACAGCTAACAAAACTAAAAGCATGACTGTCTGTCAGAGATGGATTACGTATTCAATGGACAGATGACACATGAAAAAATAAAAGCCATGAGTTAAATTAATTGACATTTGAATTAAGTCCACAGGTGTGCACCATAAGCTACTAAATTATAGACTCCCAGGCATATCAACCAAGCAAGCAAACATTTGGTTTGTTGTTTTGCTCCCCCTGACACTGACTGGAAGAAATTTTCCCCTGTAAAGTAGTTAAAACTAAAGTCGGTATATTGGATGTAAATACACACTGTCTTTCTATTTTGCTTAAACAAAAAAGGGTCATTTAAAATAACTATATGAACTGTAAGACATCAATAACTTACTGGATTGTTAACAAAGAGGGACAAAAATAGTTCCAAATCTAAGGCCATGCTTCTTAACCCTATGAATTTTTATCCAGGACAATTTTTAGACATAGTTACAGTGGCAAATTATGTTGAACAGATTAGGTTATCTACAACTATAAAATGATCAAGAAAATCAGTACACTACCTAAAATATGAATGAGTATTAGATCATAGAGGGAATAAGTGTCAAGCACCTAATGATTTCTGAAAAGATTATCTTGGACTTTATTTTTATTTCAGACTGAATTGACCAGACTGGATTGACTCACTTGTTTAGATCTACAGCAGCCTCATTTAATATAGTGAATGTTATTTTTTATTTTATTTCTTTAGCAGTGGAGGCTTATGCTTAGAAACCACTCTGACTAAGAGTCTTACTTACTGATTTCTAGAGAAAATGCTCCCATTAACAATGTATCTAAATATTTAATACTTATGTAAGCAGCAACATCTTAATGCAGTCTGTGTAAATTTGTGTGCCTTAAATTCTGTTCTTCAGTAAAATAAAATGTTTTTTTTTAAATCTTCATCTTTAGTTTTTTTTTCAGGTCAAATCTAAAGGAGTAATGCCAACATTAAATGTTGGGAATTATATATCCGTGCACATTGAATTGCTTAAGCCCCTGTCACATCTTAACCATTTAGCCAGACGTATCAGAATCTTATAAAATGCTGGCATATGCTGAACTTTCTATGTGTTTTTTCAACTTTGGGTGTATGCATAATGAGTTCACAGTGTATGTGTAACAACAGCCTAACTTATGCATAACGCACGGCAGCATAATGCCCATGAAACGTCACACGCCAGTGTCCTGAGGGGGGCACCAATGTGTCCGGAGGCATCCGGCCTGCAGAAAAAGATTTCTTTGGTCACAGTATTAAACTAGCTGCTGTTTACCACCAGCCTAAAAAAAAAAATAGAATAAATAAATAAATAAAAACAAAATGAAAGAAAGAGGGTTTGTAGTCGCAGCAGATTTGGCATCATGTCTGCTGTGAAGTTTGTTGGTCGTGGCCATGGGTGTGAACACAGAGAGCATCCCTCACACTCACCTTCATGCTCACCCTATGATGTTGATGAAGTCTGGAGGAGTACAGATGTTTTCCTCCTGTGAACCCCTTTTATACCAAAACGCTGCCCTGAACCAGTGTGTTTCAGCGTACTGCAGCGTGCTTCAGCATCGTCATAACTTATACAAAACGTACCCATAACTTATCCAACATATGCCAGTGTGTTTGCCAGATATTCCATACGTCAGGCATACACTGGCTAAATCGTCACAGTGTGACAGGGGATTTACTTCCAGCTGAAGAGATAAAGCCCTAAAAATGTATGCTTTGTGTTGCTGTTTCATATTTCTGCTCTGATCTCTGTTCAACGTGTTTTGTTCTCACTGTTGTTTGTTAGTACTTTTATATAATGGTTATATCATGATTTTAAAGGCTTGATGTAAACATAAAGAAGCATGTTAAAAGAAGTCTGACATGGGTTAAATAAAGTTGCCTTTATATACAGAATCTGTAGTAATAGAGGTGAGAAACATCTATCCATCCATTTTCTCCTGCTTAGTCCTTACCAGGCCCACAGTGAGAAACACCATTTTAATATTTTTAGTGACAAGTATGAACTATCTACTCCTCTTGTTCCTATAATATATTTAAAATATGTGAATATTTTGAAAGTGTGCTCAGATTAATTTAACCAGCATTTAATATTGTCACTGCCTCTAAAATGTAAAGAGAAAAAGAATGTTACAAAAATAAAGTTGACTTCAAGAATCATACATGGTATTTAACATAATATTTATTTAAAAATAAATCTAAGATTTGGAGACTGAAATGTTTTTCCAATTAAGCATCTTATCTACACTCTTTCTTGCTAACATTCATGGCCACGTCTGTGGGATAAAAATGAAATAAACAAGAAAAAAATCTCCTCTTTGTTGTTGCTGTTGTTCACAGGGAATTTTAGGCTCTGGCTTTGCCCTGAAGGTGCAGCAAAAGCAAAGACAGAAACACTTCAACAGACAGATCCCTGCAGCTGCCTGTCTCATACAGGTAAAAAACACAAAAAAACAACAAAATTCAAAGAAAATCTCAGAAAAGCTTGGGGCTGGGTCCTAACTCTTATTATTTAGACCAAACTGTCATGCATCTTTTTCTGTCTCTTTAAAAATGTGGTCAGGGCTGAAGTATATCCTGTCTTTGCAATAAATTTCTATTTCCATGCCTCTACAGACATCATGGAGATGTTTCGCAGTGGAGAACTTTGATTCAGCTACATTCAAGCTGTTTTTGAGAAAGAAATCCAACATCCCTGCCTCCTCTCTATCCACCCCCAAGCAGAAAAAATTGGTAATAGTTTTAAAGATTTCATTCCTCTTCTTTTTATCACATTTTCAGATAAACTCACTCAAAAAATATAGTTTGAAGGGAATAGACATGTAACTCTGTGAATTGTGAATCAGGACCAGTGAAAATGTGAAAGTTTATTTCCTTTTTTGCAAATGTTTTTTCTTTTTTTTTAATCCGTTTTATAACATTTTTCTCATGTGAAGAAAGAGGAAAATATAGGACAGAAAGTGCAGCACCATTTGCAACTATATTGGAGAGACTTTAGGAGCTCGCATAAGAATACTGCGTAACTCAAATCCCTTGATACTCTTCAAACTATGTCACACATTGCAATTCTTGTGACTTGGATTTTAAAAAAATCATACCGGATTATGCTGATGACTTGTGACATTTAATTATCTTCTTGAGGTAGGTGCATTTAACAGAGAGCAATTTTTGAATAGGTTTCGAGGAAATACAGAGAAAAGACAT